ATTCTGGGAGTTGAAGTCCACTCATCTTAAAGTGGCCAAGTTTGGACAACACTGCCTTAGGGGTTCCCGCCTACACCAGACTTGGGGAACGGACAAAATTTGGAGCTGAAAGTTTGGAGGGAGGATTTCAACATGGTAGGTTTTTATTCTTGTTGCAATCTTTTTTACGTGCCGTTGGATAAAGTACTGTGCCAGGAATTATTCTACGTTGACTCCTTAAATAATAATAACATTGGAGGTAGCAGAGGAAAGGGAAAGGGAAAGGGAAAGGGAAGGAGGAAAAGAGGGAAATCACAGGATTCCTCTAGCTACAACTGCAGAAGAACCTGACTACAGCAAGAGGGCCCGAGGTCCAAAGGACAAGGCGAGAAAAACGGCCCTGCCCTTTGCGTGGGACTCCTGGGCACAATCACGTGGTTCGCCGGATCGCTCAGGACCAAGCACCAGAATGGGAAGTCTCCTGGGTCTGTCCATGCGCTACCTGAAGATCCGGTAGGGCGTCGTCAGATCAAAGCACCTCCTGTCCACATCCTTCACGTTCCCCACGTTCATCTCGATGTAGGTGATTCCAATGCCCAGCCGGAACTCCTGCGCCAAGGCACCAGAATTACCACAGGGAAGCAGGGGTGCAGAATCACAGAGGGTATGAGGGAGAAGCAAACACAGGTGTGCAAAGCGCTCCAAGCTGTCTCTAAAGCACCGCGTTTTAAGTCTGAGTGTAAAACAGCTCTCTGGCCTCCACAGCCAACAGCTCTGACGGCTTCAGAAGGGTTTGGAGTTCAAAGCACCATCTCAACCTCAAAGCGCTTCCAATCAAATTGATCCAAACAGTGGTTTCAAATGCAAAAGAGTGTTTTGAATGCAAATGGTCTGAGTCTGAAATATCTGCACGCCCCCAGAAGGTTGGACCAGAAGTATCTGGTCCAACCCCAGCCTAGTTGCACATGATTTCTTTTTTTAGGACAGTCCACCTTGGCCAGTACACGCACCTCTGCGTTCTTATAGAGGAAAACCTTCTCCCCAGCCACGACCACGTACAGCTTGCTTTTAAAGCCCCGTAGCTCCAGGAGTCCACTCTTGTCCACGGGGTCAAAGCTGCTGCTGGCCAGCTGGACACGGGGCGCTCTGTGCAAGCACTTGGTCTTCTTTTCATCCACCATCTTCTGCACAGCCTTCATCCACTCGTTGCGTTCAGCTGCAAGAGAGAAGGCAGGCAGGGTGAGGAAGCCTCCAGGCAGGATATTAAGGGCGAGACCCCAAAACAGAGACTCAGGTGATTCTCAGAGTATACCAGCCCAATCTGTAGAGCAGAACCGTGCAAAGTTTCAGGGAGAGGACCCCACGGATGGGATACAGCAGGCTGGGGAATTCTGGGAGTTGAAGTCCACACATCTTAAAGTGGCCAAGGTTGAGAAACACTGGGATACAGAATAGGCATTCTTCGGGGTGGAGGGGCTTAGTCACGTAAACTTTGCAGCCTGAAGTGGTACAGACCCCCGTGCAATTCCCTCTTTTTCTAAATTAGGCTCTATTCCCAATTAAGAGAAGAAGAGGCTGAGTTTCCAAAAACCAACTCCACTCGCAGTGGCCACAGTTCGAAACACACGGATATCCCCCTTTTGCCCCCCTCCCCCACCAGCTCTGGTGATTCTTGGCTCTTTTTTCTCCCCTGTCCCCCCACCCATGGTCTGACCAGACCATGCTGACCAGAGCATAAATCCTTCCAAGAAGCTGCAACACTATTTCTGAAGAAACAGGAGGTAACAGGGATGTGGAAATCATTACAGGTGCATGTATAATGAAGTGTAATACAATATGGGACTCATTTATACAAAATATAGTAAGTTTAAAAATAATTAAAAAAACATGACATAGGTAGTTCTTCCTTAACCACAACAAGGACCAGAAAATTCATCAGTAAGTGGGGCGGTCATTAAACAAGGCGTCATGTGAGTACACCCAATTTTACAACATTTTTTGTGGCGGTCGTTAAGCGAATCATGCAGTTCCCCATTGGGTTTGCTTGCCAGAAGCCAGCTGGGAAAGTTGCAAACAGTGATCATGTGACCCTGGGACACTGCAACCGTCGTAGGTGCAAGCTGGTTGCCAAGTCACAATCACATGACTGCAGGGGCACTGTGATGGTCATAAGTGCGAGGACCAGTTGTAAGTAGCTTTTAGCACCATTGTAACTTCAAATGGTTGCTAAATGAATGGTTGTTAAGTGAGGACTACCTGTACTCATACAAATGTATTAGAAATATATACCTACTTGAATAATATTTGCATTAAATAAATATATCTAGAATTGTAATTGTTTACTGTTATAATGACATGTTAACATTTTTTTCTTTGTTGTATTTCTTTCACCTTTATGTTAAAGCACTTTCTATGTGTTTTTTTCTTCTTCTCAATAATAAAAAGTTTTCAAAATTTAAAAAAACATGTGCCTGCACAGAACAGCCACTGCTCATCTAGACCAAAATGCATGTGTTTGATCTGGGTACAGAGCCGGAACATCTGTGTTCTTTTGAGCAGAAATGTTTTGGGGAGAGCAGGAAACAGGCAAAGCCACCAGCAGCTTCAAGAGGTTGCAGACGAGGGTCGCCTTTGTGCCTTGGAAGCACCTCTTCCAAAGTGAACCCAGAGCGTCACGCAGCCTGATTCCGTAAGTTGGAAGAACCATGAAAAGTAATGACATGGTGAATAAGGAGTTTTAACCACCAAGAACTGATTTTAATAGAGTCTCACAACTGGTGTTTGCATTTCTGAGCAGATCAAAATAAAACCACCACGATCGCACATTAAAAACCCAGAGACTCTCGTACGTGGTGGACTCGTGAAGTGGCCTAAAGATTTTGGGCGGTGATCCACAGGACACTGGTGAAAATAATAGGAATCCCTTTTCAGAGGAAACCAGAACTGTACTCATTAGGGTTTTTAAGAACTGAGTAAAAAGCACGGTGTCTTATTGCTGCATCTGATCACTGCGGCAAGATTATTATATGCGCAGAAATGGAAAAATTAAAAAGCTCCAAATGTTGAGGACTGGATAGTTAGAGTTACAGACTTGGTGGACATGGCCAAACTGACACGTCTAGCAACAGAGAAATCTACAAAGGCTTTCATTAAAGACTGGAGTCCATTTATGGACGATATTATAAAAGTAGAGAAAAACAGCTTGATGATGCAGGGTTTTGTAGATTAAATAAGGGGAGATAATGGAAAATATAAATAGTGATTACAACGGTATAAAAGAATAAGAAATGTTTAACGGATCCGTGAGGGAAGTGAAGGGTGGGACGATATGTTTTTTAAGTCAAATGTTTAGTTTTGTATTTGCAGGTTTATGTTTCTATACATGTTTACGAATTGTGCTTTTTTAAGTTTATTTTATGTGTAGAATTTTAATAAAGTTTATATATTTAAAAAGCACAGAGATTCTCAATGCACATATCCAGTTAAGCAATTCCATTCTGTAATGGCCACAATTATTTACCTATTATATTTTATTTTTATACTATACTTACTTACTGCTGTAACTGACAAGGATTCCCCTCAGGATACAACAATAAAAACAATAAAATCAGATTTGAAGCTAAAGGAATAACTCAAATTAAAACCTGTAATACTTGAAAACAGATGGGGGCCCCCCAGCATTCCCCAAACGTTCTCCAGAACAACTGTTTTGGCGAACGTCAAGATGGCTATCAGAGTGGGCACTAGCCGGGCCTCAAGCAGGAGGCTCTTCCAAAGGATGGGGTCTGCAATGGAAGAACACTTGAACTCCACCCCACTTCATCTCCCACTAATGGGGGGGCATTAACAGTTTTTCCCTACACCAAGCACCCACATGGGTTGACACTATGCAGGGTAGTTGGAAAAGGCTGGGGGTATCTAGAGGCCAAGCATTATAAAACCAGTACAGGTAGTCCTCAACTTACAACCACAATTGGGACCAGAACTACTGTCACTAAGCAATGTGGTCATTATGTGAGTTGTGCCCAAATTTATGACCTTTTTTGCCATGGTTGTTAAGTGAATCCGGCTTCCCCCATAGACATTGCTTGTCAAAAGCCCCATGGGAAGGTTGCAAACAGAATCACATGATCCCAGGACATTGCAACCATCATCTAAATTTGAAATATAAATAAATACATACATACATACATACATGCCGGTTGCAAAGCGCCCAAATTTTGATCATGTGACTGCGGGGACGCCACGACGGTCATAAGTGCAAGAACTGGTCATAAGTCACTTTTTTCAGCGCGAACGTAACTTTGAACGGTCATTAAACGAATGGTCATAAGTAGAGGACTACCTGTACTTTGAATTGCCCCAGGAACCCTACTGGCAATCAATGCAAAGCCCACAATTGATTGATTATAGGCCATCAAGTTGGTGTCAACTAGTGACCACACAGATTTTCTCCAGGACAGTCTGTCCCCAACTTGGTCCTTCAGGTCTCCCAATGGAGTACCCATCACCACTGTAATTGAGGCCATAGAAGAGAATCTCCATAGCTCAGGGTTGAACTGTGGAGTCCTTGGGGTTCTCTGAGCTTGGCTGTTTTCTTGCAAACATTTTGTTCTCCAGCCAGGTAACATC